ATTCGATCACCTGAAATCGTTAGTGTGAATCGATCAGATATCATCAACTATCAAAGTTGGAAGAATGATAGATATGACAGCCGTTCTTAGTTGTTCACCCGGTACATACTCCTAGCACGAATAGAGGCCCCGGAGAGGATTTTTTTTTCGCTTGGAGCGCACGAAAGGGAATTCCTATTATGTTCAAAGAACATCGTGCGTTCCTAGGGAGGTAGGTATTGGAATTTTTTTGAACTTTTGGAGATGATATGTTGTTGGGAATACTTCCACAGGCAATGAATTCCAGAGCCTAGCCGTTTTATGGATGAAGGAGTCCTGATAAAGTGCTGTTCGACATCTTTCGAGGTTGACAACAAAAGGATGGTCTGACTGGGCTTGTCTAGTTCGTCTGATTGGTATTGCTAGTGAAGGGATGATAGCAGAGATTTCTGAAGAACATTTCCCGTGGAAGTATCGATTGAAAAGTGAAAGGTCGCCGACCTTTCTACGGTGTTCCAATGATGTCAAAGAGTGAGTGAGTGTGGCGTCACCCACCAGGCGAATGGCTCTTCTCTGGATGGAATCTACCCTAACAACACCAGTACATCCTAGGGACTTCCCATGGACGTCCCTGATTTTATACTAGGACATCCCAGGGATGTCCTTTGTCGGGACAACGTACATACTAGGGATGTCCCAGGGACATCCGCTGGCCGCTAAAATAGGAATCCAAGGGATGTCCTTCTGGTACGTACCTGGGATCGATGTACCAAGTACGATGAAAGGATATCCCTAGGACGTCCCAAGGATATCCCAGGGACATCCTTTCGACAAAAGAAAAAAGGTGCAGGTCGAGTAGGGATTGAACCCGGGACCTTTGGCTTATCATGCACGCACCTTGCTCCATTGGCTATCATGCCTCCTGAAGATTTATGTACTAAACAGATTTATAAACAGGACTCAACTACAGAAACCTGAATGAATACAACTTTGTTAGGATTTGGGTATAATTATTATCATTCTTGGGTGTTTAAAAATGAGGGGCACTATGCATGTACGATTTCTGTCTGCGAAAAATGGTAATTTCTCAAGAAGTTCTGAGACTTTATTCTTTATTTTCATTACAATCATTTTCCGGAAGAGAAACAAACATTTTCAAAACAAATTTAACTCAATAGTTTGATGAAATTCAATGACTCTGATGTGAATGGATATCAGATACTCCAGGAACACGAATAGGATAACCTAGGGATGTACCGGGCGGGATGTCCATTGGACAACCACTGCAGGACATCCCCTGGATGTCCCAATCATGTCCTTGTACCGCGGGACAAAAAAAGGGACGTACCTAGGACATCCCTGTGTTGTTAGGGTAAGAGCATCAGCGTATGTTTTGGTGCTGAACCCCATATGTGGGAACAGTATTCTGAAACAGGCCGTATCTGCGCTTTGTAGATCATGAGAAGCTGTTGAGGTGTAAAGTAGCTTTTCGCACGGAACAAGAATCCGAGTTTTTGTGAAGCAGCTTTTGCGATGGATCTGACATGATTATCCTATGAAAGAGTGTTGCTGATGGAAATACCGAGCATAGATATGGTGGGCTTGGTGGGGATGGTGGAGCCAGACATTACAATATCGGGCCTACTAAGTTCCGCCTTTCTAGAGAAAATGCAGGCTTGAGTTTTGGTGGCGTTGAATTCAACTAGGTTGTTCGTTTCCCAGGCTGTGATTTCAGCAAGATCTTCATTGACAGCATTGACCTGCCTGCGCCGTGAGTTCTTAGTTTCCTGGGAAGAAATGGGAATTCTGGAAGAGAACGCAGTATGGAGGGTACTGTCATCTACAAAGCTGTGGATGGGGCAAGTAGTTACTCCCAACAGATCATTGATATGAAGCAGGAATAATGTTGGTGCCAAAATTGATCCTTGTGAAACACCGGAATTGATGCCAATGGTATCAGACGATACACCGTCTACCACCACGTGAAGCGATCTGCCTGAAAGAAAACTCGATAAGAGATGGCATAGCTGAGGTGGTAAAACGTATGATGGTAGTTTGTGGAGGAGTCCTTCGTGCCAAACACGGTCAAATGCTTTCGATATGTCCAACGCGACAGCTAGAGATTCCCCGTGTTTTTCTATTGAAGATTAGATTGCCATAAATGGGTGACGTAGGCAAGTAGATCTCCAGTAGATCTTCGGTGGCGAAAGCCGTATTGTCTATCATTGATGATTCCTGAGCTCTCCAGATATTTGATAAGCTCAATACTGATTGCTTTCTCCATCACTTTGGAGACTCCATCACTTTGGAGAATACCTAATGTCCATCAGAAAGTGTCTTCTACACTTCTTCTTCAATATATAGGGTGAATTATGATATTTGGCAAAAACATCTTCTGATAATAACTTTCCAACAGCTTCTTCGATTCGTCTGATTGTTTCCATGGAATATTCCGCTACTACTTTCTAATCGACTGACTTATTCAGAATCGGGAGAATCCAGGACTGTTCTTGAAACATTTTGATAGTTTAGTTCATTGCAATATTCATCCTGTATACTCTTTTTGTAAACTGTCACAGGGAATTTCCAAGGGTCACAAACAAACATCAAAAATAAAATATTTCAAATTTTCCTCACACTTTCACTGCAGTTTGAAAAAAAGTATAAATTTTATGGAAGAACAAACATTTGACAAAACATGTATTTATTTGGAAATTGAAACTTCGCAACCCATAAATTTTACAAATAAAAGTAAGACTTACATTTTCAATGCTTCAGCTCAATGGAAATCGACATACTATTTTATTTTCAGGCCTGGTTTCAGTAACTAAACTCTTTGTGGAGGATAATAATCACCCTGTAGAACTTTTTCGAGTCAGTGGATGAGGTATATGTGAAAATGTTGATGGACATCGCTATGAATAATTTTATGATTCCAATTCACAGTTTCATCTATTCGATTTGTTTCATTCTGATAATTTGGTCACATATTTTCTGTACTAGAATAATTATCCGCTTTGTCAGTAGGTATAGTTTTCAAAAAATAATTGTGAGTAAACCTTCATTTCCTGTTCGACTATCTCGAATTATATCATGATACCATTAACATCTAAACAGATACAGCATCCACTGATTTAAAAAAGATCTACAGAGCAATTATTACCCTCCACAATAAATGAAATATTGAAATCCAGGCCTGGAAATGGAAGAACATGTTGATTTCCATTGGGCTAAAGCACTGAAAATATGAGTCTCACTTTCATGTGTGAAATTTATGCATTGCAAAGTAATTATTTTCGAATAAATAATATGTGTTGTCAAACTTTCGTTTTTGCTTGAAATCAATAGTTTTTCGAAGGATTCTGTGAAAGTGTGAGGAGAATTTTGAATATTTTATTCTTGATGCTTGTTCGTGTTCTTTGAAAAGTCCCTATCAAAAACAATATACAAAAACAAGAAGCTTATACAGGATGAACTTTTTAATAAAAACTGAACTATCAAAATTTTTCAATGGTCCTGAATTTTCCCAATTCTGAATAAGTCAGTCGATTAGGGTTTAGTAGAGGAATATCTCATAAAAAATCAGACGAATCGAAGGAGTTGTTGAAAAGTTATGACCAAAAGATGTTATAGCCAAATCTTATAGTTCACCCTATATATTAGTGAAGGAGAAAAGAAGACACTTTCTGATGCTCATTAGACATTCCCCTCGAGGGCCTCTATACGTGGTAGGAGTATGTACAGTTCCTCATGACTCACCCTGTATAGGATTCTATTGATGGATATCCTTCAGAAGATGTTAATGAATATTAGAATAACCACAATTATTCCAATGCAAACATTATCTTCCTGTAAATTACAAATAAATAGACCAAGAGCCAGAAGTGAAATCTAGCGCCTCATAAGTAACCACAAAGTGACATTGCATATGTGTTATTCATTCTGCATTGAAATTGTAACCGTGCTACTGCCGGTCAAGAGTGACACTCTCAACATAAGCAACAACTTCCAAAAAGAGATATACTGAATTTTTATGTTGAGAACAGGAGCAGATTCGGTCCCGAAACCTCCAGAGATAAGTGAAAAATCGATATTTTTTCAATATATCTATATTTCTTTCCTTCAAACATTTTTCAAACGAATCTTCACTGACAAGCTACTGGATCTTTCTTTTAGGCTCTCTGATAGAAAAATGTGTTGAACGCATTGACATTTTGGGGCAAATCATCTGATTTGTCCCACTACAAATGTATTGAAATAATACGCATATTCTTATTTTATAGAGACGAGGAGAAAATCCCAAATAATCAAGTAAAATGAATGTATACCACCTCCTCGATTAACCTACTGACAGTATTTGAGTATAAGACATATTTGAATATGCTGGTTGCTCGAAAGAGTCAAGAATAAACTATAATGTATGGGTTCCTCCTATTATGTTTTATTCAAATACAGGACTCTTATATCTTCTTGGTAGCTTGATAATGATAGGTGACTTGACAACCTTGCTTCGTGAGTGGGAATTGAAGATTATCTGACTAATAACGAAACAGCATAAAAGCTGACGTCACCATTTTTCCGACGTATCGCCAAATAGTGGCCATGACGGTACGTTTGAAATGAGATCCGAAATTCGACAATTTCAAACAACACATACACTCATTAATTACATGAAAAAAGTATGAGAAGAGTTGCAAAAATTAATTTATGTCCCTAACGACACAGTGTAGTAATTGAATGCCAATGATTCATTATGAGTCCACTCGGCCATTCTGGCCAGCATAAGGCTGACCAAAATTGTTTGCTGGGGCGTATTACGTAAATAAGATCACGAAAGTTCTTCAAACATTCCATATTATTATCCTTCAGTCTACTCTCACATATTCTGAAAATATGGAGATATTTCGCTATTCGCAGCAGAAGATAATAATTCTTCGTGAATCGAGTCGTTAGGAACCATATTGTATGCCTTTTATGTTAGAGCAGACATCAAGGATGATAACTTTCAATGCCTCATTTACATGTTACCTCAAGCCTCAAGCAACAGGGTGTTTCGATCAGAAGCCGTGTATTTTGTTTGGTATAGCGAGATTTTATGGGTTGCAGTATAGTCACACAGATCACCCAGGGTGAAGATTAATCTTGCAATTATAAATTCTAACGGATAAATTGAAAAAAAAAACTTGTAAAGAAGGTTTTTTTCTCCAAGCTTTTTCATGCCGCTAAACAGGCAGAAAAACTGTACTTTTACTGCCTAGGCAGAAAACGTTTGTTGTTATGCAACGCGCCAAGAAATTCTGATGAAATTAGTAATCGAAATTGATACTGACATTGAGTGAACACAAAATCGTAGAGTTTTCAATCAAGAAATCACACAAAATTGGTTTAATATCATATGGAGAAAAAATCCTATGTTTCACACGGCAGCAAATGTAGATTGACTGCCTTGGCTGAATTCCTTGCCTCGCTACGCTCGGCTATGAACCATCAGCCGCGGCAGTCAATTTCTACTTTTCTGCTTAGTAAAACAAATAACTATTATTTAAATGCTCTACAATGGAGAAATTGAATGTTTCTTTCAAATTTCAACTATCAACATATAACCTGATTATACACAATTTATATTATCATAAAAGCTTGTCGCGATGATCAATATTTGATTAAATTCTGAAAGTTTCAAAAATGTGAACAGCAGATTTCACATACCTAATTGAATTAATTCTAGTTTATTCAAACAAGTGAATTGCGCGGCAAGCTTTATGAACATTTGAATTGTGTATAATCAGATTATAAGTTGACAGTTAAAATTGAAAAGGAAAATTTTATTTCATTCTTCTCAGAGCGTTTGAATAAAAGTTTTTATTTTCACTTCCACATATTCATTTTCATTTTTAGTAATCACTGGCTAGTTTCCTCAGTCTGTTCTCCTCATTCAACGCATCATTGTTGCGAAGTCGTTTGCCGGTTAATTTAGAACAGTCAGCTTGAGGCCACGTATACTTGACCAGTAGCAATAAAGAACATCATTTCATCATCTTGGATGGTCCGTCATATCGAATTAAGAATGACGTCACATCCTTTTTCGAGTTGCTCTCGACGAGTCCTTTCATTTGATACCCATATTGTAGAAGAAGATTGAAAATGAATATTCCGCCAACTTGGATGGTTCGCCATATTGGATTCAGGATGAAGTCACATTATTCTCCGAGTTGCTCTCAACGCCTTTATTTGATACTCAAATTGAAGAAGTGCATTGAGAATATCTATTCCGCCATCTTGTATGGCCGCCATATTGAATTTAGAATGACGTCAGATTATTCTCCGTGATGCAATAGTGTCAATGACAATATAGACACCTATGTGGTATACATTTATAGATACCGATGCGTATGCATCCAATGAAGAATGAAAAAGTCTTTGAACCGAATTACAGCTGAAAGCAATTATTTAAGGTATGAAAAATGTTTGAAATTATGTCAAAACCAACACAAATGAGATGTGAGCTGTCACTGATTTTATAAAAATTCAAGGAACGTTTTTGTAACTACAGGTTTTCCTTGTGGATGGTGTCATTAGAATATAAAGATCGTAGAGGGACAACCTAAGGTTAACAATGCTATGAGAATTTTGAAAAGAGAAACTTACACTGGAGACCAAAGCAATAGGGAACAATAACACAACATTAGAAACTTGAGGGCATTGAAGAGTTTTTGGCAATCGAAATGGATTTGTTAATTGAGTGAAAGAATATTTTCATCCTTTGAAGATGAATTGATCTCAAAAATTTCCAACAGATTCTGCTAACTACCCTTCTGGCAAATGTGTAAAATTTGTATGGAAGGAAATGTTAATATCTGTGCTGAAAAGATGTAAAATATTTTTCAAATCATTGGATACTTTACATGAAAGAGGAATTGAAGAGGAAAAGGTTCTAGAACTATTGAGTGGTATTAAACTATGGTTGATACATTTTTGTCAATGTCTATTGTAAATTATATCAATAAGGTGGGGTGGGTTGCCATTGTTATTGTGACCAATTTGTTTTATAATGTCCAATTCTTTGTTGAAATCTGAAGAATCCATTGCTATTTTGAAGAGTCTATGAAAAAAGAAGTTGAAAGCAGCTAATTCGTGGGAGATCGGATGAAAAGAAAAAAGGGGATTACTGTGTCAGTGTGAGTCGGTTTTCGATAGATGAAGAAGATGAATTCATCATTATTTTTATTAATCAGTAAGTCTATAGGAATGGGAGAGAATTATTAACTGTTAATTCCATGGTGAAGTGTATAGCCGGGTGTAAGTTATTCAAGAACTTCAAAAGAAGATTCACTTCATCTAAAGAACCGTCAAAAAGTACCAAACATTCATCTACATATCTAAACCAGAAACAGATTTTGTGAAATAAATGGAAAGGGTTGAGTTTGAGTTCTAAATCATGGACGACAATTTCGGATAGTGAAGGAGAGAGATTGCTGCCCATTTTTAACTTTGTCATTGACCTTATGTTCTATATAGTATCGCCAACTGGTAAGAGTGAAAATATTAGCCCTCATTTCATTTCAATTTTGATACGGGGTTTATTTTCAATGTCACAATTTTGATAATATGATAAACAATGCTGAATATACACGATGCGAATGGCATTGCACCTTCAATGGAAATGAAAATCTGAATTAATAAAAGATGTTTATATTTCAGTGTTAGTAGTGGAAAAAATATTATATATACCTCGAGTGAGAATGCTATTATATAGCTTACTTCTCACACCCACAAATGTATAATATACTATTTCACCTAATAATATTGAAATATGGAATAGTTTTGTTCTTTTTTTGTATATATTTTGATGTTGGAAATGATATATGGAAGAATCCCCCTGGGTTATTCATGCATTGCAGTTAATTAACATTATTTCTTCGCAAATTAGACGTATCGAAACTATTTCAGTTAAGCTGCCTGTGTTCCAAAATGAAATATAAGTGATATGCGTAGTTGAAAATACAAATTAGGCATACCGGGTATGTAAGCCCAAAAGGTAATCACGGTCAGGTGTAGTTGCATTCTTTGAGAAGTATGTTTGTGCTATACATATGTTATCATTTTTTAAAATCAAAATATATACATAATGATATCCTCCAAAAGGCATACTGGGTGAAATCACTTCCGATCTATTATTTGAAAATTCATACTGAAAGCAAAAAGGAGAATATAACAGTCTATATGGCACACGTGTTTGTACTTTGTGAACTTTGTGCAGCTTGACCATCCAGGCGCAGTGTTGCCAACAGCCAATCCTAAAAGCGGCTAGATGACTGTTGAAAAATAGCAAAATCACAGCTAAAAACAGAAGCGCGCCGCAGGAGAAATTTTTTTACCCATTTTTTGCCAAATCTAGCCAGTTTTTTCAATATTCAAGTATGACGTAATGAGTGGACGTCATTGTCGTCAGCGTCAATTTGTCAAAATGGCAGAAAGCATGGAATACAAAATCCATAGAAATACTGAATTTTACTTAGATTAGATCGTGGATATTTAATGAATTTTCTATGGATATTTCATAAATATGAGAATCTTCTTATAGAAAGTCAAGATAAAAGATAGCTAGAAAATGTCTAAATGACTAGATGCAATTTTTAGTAGCTAGATGAGTTCGAAAATGGCTAGAACTAGTCATAAAAAGGCTGAGTTGGCAGCACTGTTCAGGCATTCATCATTTTATCTCGGCCTGTGAGAGTTGGATGCGCAGTAGACCAGCCGGAGAAGTGATGCGAGAGCTCATCATTGTCGAGGAACTCGTGCAGTCAACATCTGTTATAACAGTCAGTGTTAATTTTTCTAGAACAGTTGACGATGAGTATAGGACATTGTACATGAAATCCGTCTAGAGTTTCAAGAAGAATTCATAAATTAAATAAAATACAGTTAGATGCGTAAGTATTCTATCCACTTTGGATTGCCGGTAGGTGGGTTCGATTTCCACCACGACCTCAGAAATTTTTTTGATGGCCTGAGAAAGTTTTTGGGATCATAGGTTAAAAGGTAAGACCCCCGTCATTCCTTGCTCGCACAAGTCTCTTGAAGATTCGTCGGGGAACATCCAGAAACACCCCACCACAAGACTGATGGATAAGAACAATTTTAGAACAATTTAGAATTCAGAACGTGTCCAAGCGATTTTCTGAACATGCCCCCGTTTATTCCTTATCGAATTCATTCCATTTCGCTGATACACACTGTAAGTAATCTTGTTGTAACTATGGGGGTTTGTTGTTCCAGTGTTCGCAGGGCTTAGTATTTATTTTGGGACTTCAAAGTTGATGCATTGCATGCTCATAATCTGAATTATAATCCGATGTTATTATCTCGGTTTTATTATTCCTAAACTATTACTCTCAAATAACTTTTGAATAGGATTACATTCAATCTGGTAGAAAGGAGTTTACTACCTATATTATGTTACTAACAATCCATTCACATTATACAGTGTGTCCCACTTACCATGCTCACCATGGGTATCTTTTTAACGGTGAGAGATACGAGGTCGGTTGAATGACATCAAATGTGAAGTTTGTCAAGGCCAACTATAATGTGAAAAAATATTTTGATAAAAACCATTCGTTTTTGTTTTATACGCAAAAAAAGATTTTGATCATTTTCATGTATCCTCCGTAACTTCTTTATTTATGAGAATATTCAAATAGAAATTTCACATTCTCATGGCAGTTTTTCAAAGTGATTTTGAAAAAGATATGGAATTCATACCAACTCTTCTAGAATTTGAGATATCAGCACCAACTTTAGTTTTTCAAATGTAAGTCATAGCTCACTATGACTTAGTTACAAATAACTTTTTTTTCTTTAACAGATGATGTGTCGCAGTTATAGTTTAGTGTTGATAACAACGGAGTTATCGTCATTTATACAAAAACAAAACATTATTTGGAAGCCGCCATCTTGAATTCATAAAGTCTAACAGAAAAATCATGATCTCCGACCTCAAAAACCCCCATTTATCAATTTTGAATGGAATCGGACCAAATCTTGTCCGCCATCTTGGAGCAGCCATTTTTTTTAATTTCA